ATCCAGACCAGGGAGATCAAGAGCCACATGTAGGCTGAAGGCCCAGTTTGAATCCCTGGCCACAAATGGTCCCCTGACCACTGCCAGTATGTCCCCAACCACCCCCCAAAACCCCCAAACTAAATCTTACTACTCAGAGCTAACATTTTAGTACAGCTTTTCAGGGTCTATAGATTTAAAAAATCTTTTTAACATATATTAGTCAATTCACCATCCATTATTCCTCTAAAGATTATAGTTCACCTACTTCTTCATTGTTAGTTTTCCCTACCAGAATTGAGAACTTTCTGGTTTTGGGGTAACACTCAGCAGACCTTAAGGGATAGTCATGGCTTACTGCTTGGGGTACCATATGTGCTAGAGACTGAACCTGGGCCAGTCTGCGTGGAAGACAAGCACTTCAGACCTTTGAGGGAGTTCTCTGACCCAGAATATATTATTATAAAAAAAAGAATATATATTATATCAGTAAGTACAGACTGACATTATTATTTTTCTTTTTAAAAATTTATTTGTAAATAATGGAAAGTGAAGCCCACTTTTTCTTCAACATTATTATTATTATTTTTTTGCTTTTTTTGGGGGGGGGAGTCACACCCAGTGATGCACAGGGGCACAGGGGTTACTCCTGACTCTGTACTCAGGAATTACTCCTAGCGGTGCTTGGGGAACCATATGGGATGCTGGGAATCGAACCTGGGTCTGCCGCATGCAAGGCAAACGCCCTCCCCGCTGTGCTATTGCTCCAGCCCCAACATTATTTTTCATGACTGATAATGAATGACCATTTTGATTGACCATCTCTTATGCATTTGGTCTCTTTTAGTATTTTGTAGTCATGAAGAATAAAGAAGTGAACATTCTTGTACATATATCTTTGAACACTTGTCTGATTATTTCCTTATGACATTTTCCTTGTATGTTTACTATTAAGTCAAAGGGAGTGAATTTTGGTAATTACTGCCAGATTGTCATGCAAAAGAAAATCCCAGTTGAGGATCTCCTATTGAGATTGGAGAGAAAAAGCTTGAGGGCTAAACCAGAAACTTTGCATGTGGGAGCCCGGGGGTTCCATTCCCAGCACTGCATAGTTCCCTAAGCACCACTAAGAGTGACCCCCCACAGTACCAAGCCAGGAGTAGCCCTCAAATACTTGCTGGTTTTAGTCCAACCTCTCTCCCTGTCCCCCAAAAGTATAAGTGCTTAATTTTACCAGGTTTGCTGTAGTCTCCCTCTTGGAGAGCCCGGCAAGCTACCGAGAGGATCCCGCCTGCATGGCAGAGCCTGGCAAGCTCCCCGAGGCGTATTCGATATGCCCAAAACAGTAACAACAAGTCTCACAATGGAGATGTTACTGGTGCCCGCTCGAGCAAATCAATGAACGGGAGGACAGTGCTACAGTGCTACTGTAGTTGTTAAAAAATATGTCCGAAATGTCTCCCATACTCTTCTTCCCGGCAGGAGCGAAAGTACAGAGGGTAGGGCGTTTGCCTTGCACCCGGCCAACCCGAGTTCGATTCCTCCGCCCCTCTTGGAGAGCCCGGTAAGCTACCAAGAGTATTCTGCCTGCACGGCAAAGCCTGGCAAGCTCCCCGTGACGTATTCGATATGCCAAACACAGTAACAACAAAGTCTCCAATGGAGACGTTACTGCTCGCTCGAGCAAATCGATGAACAACGGGAGGACAGGGTTACAGTGCTTCTCTTCTTCCATTCCATTAAATCTCCAAGGACTCTGTACCTGTTTTAACAAACCACCACAAGGCAGAAGTGATGCTGCATTACTTTTGTGTTCTCTTCCGGGACACTGGCTCTGGGAATCTTTAGCTGCCAGATAAAAGCATACCTTGGGAAGTTCCAAGTGTTTTCCCATTGGCAGTTTTACTCTGCCCAGCTCAAATGCCCGAGATGTGCGTGAAGATTTGAGATCTGACTGCTGTTTTGTTGTAGCTCCATGTGATCCCAGCAGGGACCTCCTCACTAAGTCCTTGCCTTCCAATTCCTTAGCAAAAATAAGTAAATAAGTGGCTGTTTTTTTTTTTTTTTTGCTATTTGGGTTACACCCAGCGATTCACAGGGGTTACTCCTGGCTCTGCATTCAGGAATTACTCCTCATGGTGCTCGTGGGACCATATGGGATACTGGGAACTGAACCCGCGTGCAAGACAAACGCTCTACCCGCTGTACTATCGCTCCAGCCCCACAAGTAAGTGGTGGCTGGTTTTTATTCTTCTTCTTATTAGTTTAATTAAATCATTGTGAGATACACAGTTACAAAGTTATTATTAAATCATTGTGAGATACACAGTTACAAAGTTATTATGGCTGTGATTTTTAAAACCCTCTCTTTGGGGGTAGGTTGCTACAAAGCAATAACTAGAACAACTTATGGACATAGGATTACAAAAGCTTTTGGGGGGGCACTGGAGAGATATACAGCAGGTAGGGCATTTGTCTTACATGCAGCTAACCTGTGCTCAATTCCTGGCACTCCATTATCCCCCCAAGCCCCACCGGAGTGATTCCTGAATAGAGACCTAGGAGTAAACCCTGATCACAAGCAGGAGTGGCCCCCAAATAAACAAACAAAAAAAGATTACAGCTCAGAAAAATATATGCAAGATCCCACAATAAAACTCAGCATATCTAATATTTTTACATTATTAATATATAAAAGGATGGATGATAGTTCAAAATTCAATGGTATCTCACTGTTAGAGGCATTATTATCTTAATGAACCATGCATAATTACTACTTCTTAAATAATAGTCTCCCTAGAGGGCTGGAGCGATAGCACAGCGGTAGGGCGTTTGCCTTGCTTGCAGCCAGCCGGGCCGATCCAGGTTCGATTCCTCCGCCCCTCTCGGAGAGCCCAGCAAGCTACCGAGAGTATCTCCCCCGCACGGCAGAGCCTGGCAAGCTACCCGTGGCATATTCAATATGCCAAACACAGTAATAGCAAGTCTCAAAATGGAGACGTTACTGGGCCCGCTCGAGCAATAGATGAACAACGGGAGGACAGCGTTTGTTTGAGTCTAGGGAGATTTTATAGAAAAATTCAGTTTTTCTTTCCTAAGAAGGGAGATGAGGCTGGAGAAATAGCAAAGCGGGGAGGACACTTCCTTTGCACGAGGCGAATCCGTGCTTGATTCCTCGAACCATATTTGGTCCTGAGCACAAACCCAGGATTAGCTCCTGATAACTATTAAGTATTGTCCAAACTGCCCTCCCACTCCCACTACAAAAGAGGAATATTAGCTCTCAGATGAGATTTGAACTAAATCCTCCACTTTTATTAAAAGTTACTTTTTGTTGTTTACTTTTAGGCCACACCCATGGTGCTCAGGGCTTACTTCTGGCTCTGTCCTCAGGGGTCACTCCTGCTGGGTCTCCAAGGACCATATGTTGTACCAGCGATTGAATCAGGGCTCAGCTGCTTGCAAAGCAAGCACGTTAACCCGTGTACTCTCTCTCTCTCCTCCCCCCACATTTTTTTGTTTTTCTTTTTGGGCCAAACTTCGAAATGCTCTGGCTACTCCCAGACAGTTCTTGGAGGTTATTCCCAGTGTTACTTGGGGGATCATTCTGTGTCAGGGATCAAGCTTGGGGCTCTTTTATGCAAAACATATAGTTGAACTGCCTCCCAAGTCTGAACTAAAAACTCCTTTTATGTGATCTTTCTCTTTCTTTCTTTCTTTCTTTCTTTCTTTCTTTCTTTCCTTTCATAAATTTATTTATTTATTTTTTCTTTTTTTAGGTCATACCTGCAATGCACAGGGGTTACTCCTGGCTCATGTACTCGGGAATTACTCCTAGCGGTGCTCGGGGAACCATATGAGATGTTGGAAATCAAACCTGGGTTGGCCGCGTGCAAGGCAAACGCCCTACCCACTGTACTATCGCTCCAGCCCCGTGATTTTTCTTTTAAAAAAGGAATTGTAAAATAAATAAATAAATAAATAAAAAAGGAATAGTGTCTTTCTGTTTATGTGCATGTATTTAAGATCCTAATAATTCAATACAATTTTGGGATACATCAGCGATAACATATCTATAATTTACAGTTAGAGTGATACCTTCATGCTAATTCTTAAAACACATAATTTCAATGTATTTTCTATTCAAGTAATTCTATTTTCAAGCTGTCCCCTGCTTGAAACTTTTAAGTTATCAGTCGGTATCCTTATTTGTTCACAGCACTATAGCATTTAACTCTTTAGGTGTCCCTGCACAGTTTGAATAGAAAGAATAGTGATCATAGGTGAGAACAAATGCTGGTGGTTGGGAGGTGGCAGTAATGACACCCCCTGCCTCTAAACATTCACAGCAGTGCATGAGCTACTGTCAATTGTGAGCAGGGTTATCTCCAGAGTGAGTGAAATCCTTACTTAGGAAAACAACATTTGGAGGATGAAAACTACAGTTCGGTGTACCGTAGCACTGTTCCCCGGTTGTTGTTCGATTTGCTAGAGCGGGCACCAGTAACATCTCACAAGAAATTGTGAGACTTGTTGCTGTGTTTGGCATATCGAATACCTCACGGGTAGCTTGCCAGGCTTTGCCGTGTGGGCAAGATACTCTCAGTAGCTTGCCGGGCTCTCGGAGAGGGGCGGAGAAGTTAGGTGTATAACTCAAAAATATAGGGGGCTGGAGCGATACCACAGAGGGTAGAGTGTTTGCCTTGCATGCTGCTGACCCGGGTTCAATTCCTCTCAGCCCCTCTCAGAGGGCCCAGAAAGCTACGGAGAGTATCCTGCCTGCACAGTAGAGCCTGACAAGCTCCCCATGACGTATTTGATATGCCCAAAACAGTAACAACAAGTCTCACAATGGAGACGTTACTGGTGCCCGCTCGAGCAAATTGATGAACAATGGGAGGCCAGTGCTACAGAGCAGTGCTACCCCAACATTGAAAAAACATTAGATTATGTCTATCCTGATTCTGATAGTGAACTGGTAGTATTTTTTGAGAAAGCTATATTAATACAAGTAAGCATACCTGCTGATTCACTGGAGGCTGCTTTATTTTTCTTTTTTGTTTCTGGTAGAGGCTGGTACGGTCGCTGCCCCACAGGCTCATCGCCTTGGATAGCTGTTAGGTCATGCATACTAAAACTTCGTAAACGTTCTGTTATTGCTCCTTGGCTCTATTCAACAGAGAGGCGAGAGAGTCATGAAAAAAACACACTTTGAAATATTTCACATGGCTACACGAACTCTCAACTCAACATTTATAATTACACTGGCACATTTCATTATGAAATTTTCTGAAAGGTTGAAAGAATGTATAGCACATATATGTAGTGTGTGTGTGTGTGTGTGTGTGTGTGTGTGTGTGTGTGTATGGTGTTGGGTCCACACCTGGTGGTATTCAAGTTTTATTCCTGGCTCTGCTTTCAGGGATCAGATCTGGCAGAGATGTGGGATCATATTGAGCGCCAAGAATTAAATCTGGGTCAGATGCATGCAAGGCAAGAGTCTTAACTGCTGTACTATTTTTCTGAACTCTATGTATATATAATATCATTTACATTTAGCTTTATTTGTTTTATCACACATATATCTACCATCTGTATGTTCATCATTTGATTTTGAATGAATTTCAAAGTTACAGACACTAGTATATTCCATCCCAGACATTTCAGATTTACTAAATTTATTTATGGTTTTGGGCCACAGGTGGCGCATAGGGGCTATTCTTGGCTCAGTGCTCCGGGAACTATATGTGATAGCAGCTGATCAAACTAGAGTCTGCTGCATGCCAAGCAAGTATCTTACCCCCTGTACTATCTTTCTGGCCCCTATTCTTGACCTAAAAATGTAAAAAGATGTATGATTAGCTTACCATCAGAATAAACAACATTTTAAAATTTTGCGTTCACCTAGAATTTGCACTTTGGATTTAAGTTCCTGATTTAGAAGAATGTTTTAAGCTTATTAAAGCTAAAAGTCAAGAATGATAATTACTCTACCTAGAATAAGGCAAAAAAACTTAAGACACAAAGGTCTAGTATATAAAATGACCTTTAGTTAATAAATGCACTACCTGGTAAAGCATACGTATTCCTTTACAATATAAGTCATTTTAAAGCCTCAAAAATAAGCTACTAGGCACGTGTATGTTTAAATTACTAAACCTAAATAAGCTTAGAAATCCATCTCTGTAATTACACTAGACACACTTAAAATATTCAATAGCTGCATGTGGCTATCACTATCATATCCCTCCGCCACTGTCTCTAGGTTCTTTCCTATTCCCTCCCTCCCTCCTCACTCCTCTTAGCCAACTCCTTCCACTGAATAATCCTCACTGTATTGTTTAACAGTGATAGCCAGTAAGTTCTAGTTCTTGTTGACCCTGGGCATTTTTACATGTTAGTTCCTAGTTTCTAGGGAGCTCTCTTTTCCCTGTGACTAGTCATCAATAGAACTGAGTGTGTTTGCAGTAAGCGAATAACATATTTCAGTGTTTTTTACAATTAAAGCAATATATAGCTTGCTTGCTTGCTTGCTTGCTTGCTTCCTTCCTTCCTTCCTTCCTTTTTGGATCGCACCTGGTGATGCACAGGGGTTACTCCTGGCAGTGCTCAGGGGACGACATGGTATGCTGGGAATCGAACCCAGGTTGGCCACGTGCAAGGCAAAACATCCTACCCACTGTACCATCACTACAGCCCCACAATATATAGTTTTCAAAGAACATTTGTAACACAACATCCATAAACAATGATTTGAAACCCACCCAAATTACTTACACATATTTATATATTCTTTTAGCTTTTCTGGCTCTTTAGAGTTTGAGTTTTATAACCTCATAACTACTTCTGTTTTGGGCCAGAGAGCATCCCTGACCATATCCACCAGATGTCAGTTGCAAAAATCCCCTTCTTCAGGTGTTAAATCGTAACGTCTAGACATCACCAGATGTTCTTTGGGGACAAAACTGCCCTAAGTTGAGAACACTATTTTATTTCATTTTATTTTTGGTTTTTGGGTCACACCTAGCTGTGCTCAGAACTCACTCCTAGTAGAGAAGTGCTTCAGAGTGAACAAGGGTCAGTGAGTGGGGTTAAAAGCAAGAATCTTACCCACTGTTACAATCTTTCTGGCCCCAAGAGAACTATTATTTTAGGAGTTCTGGCCCCAAGAGTACCATTATTATAAGGGGTTTAAAGAGTCAGGTTTCACTACTTCATTTTACAGGCAAGGAGATTTTTCGTAAGAGAGATCAGTGCAGATAATTATTCAAAATTGCATGGTTAAATAGTGACAGAATCAGGGCTACAGGCAGGTAGAGAATCCAGTGATCACTTTAATGTTCTGCCTCCCCAGACTGTAGAGAAAATAGCATGACCTTTCTTTTTCATTGTTAGCACAAATGTTCTCTTATTTTAATTGAAGATACTAAGCAGTTGCGTATCCTCAAACCCTTTCACAGACAGGGCCACTGAAACAGCAAGATGCCTGAGTTTTTTGTCCTCGTCACGGTCACTTAAAGTCAATCACATTTCAGCAATGTTACCTGGAAGGCTCTAATTTAAGTGAAAATGTATTTTTTATGATAGCTGCTAAAGAGTTCACCAAAGGGGGAAAAAAAGGGAAAAAAATTAAAAGATATGGTTAATAACAACAGACAGTACTTTCCTTCATCTGGCCTTCATCTGATAGCAGGGCTGCTCATTCTGTAAAAAAGCTACCTACATTTCTCAAATGAAAAGCTATGAAATATTGAATGAACATCCTCAGCAAAATCCTTGAAGGTCCTTCATATGTTTATGCTTTGCTCAGGCGAAATAAACTTGTACACTGACTTTGTGAACAGATGCCTGATAATGAGGTCATAGAACTGAGCAACATTTTCAGAAAATTGCTTTACAGTGTAATAAATGTTCTGATTAGATTTCTATTTTCATTTTTAACATGCTTATGCAGTTCAGCTGGGGAAACCTAGTCAGTTGCATTACTGAGTTTTAAAGGTCATACTACAAGTCCAATCATTTTTACCATGAAAGATATTTTAACAATCGATATAGTATAACAATTTATTTATTTTACTTTTTTCTTAAATTTTTATTAGTGAAACACCATGAGGTACTATAGTATAACAATTTAAAGTAATTCTCAAGTGTTCCTATTGGCTCCCCAGCAATTTTTCTTTAAGCTTGACCTGTTTCTCATTTCAGTTTCAATTTACGTGTTAGCGTGAAATGTTGGTGATTCTTCCATCATAGTGCCTTTCTTTGACATCTTGAGATGAAACTAATTTCTCCTATCTGAAGTTAGACACAGTATTACCTGAGGCAAAAAATAATAAAATTAAGTTTCATTCAGTACATTTAATGACGATTTTTAAATATCTGCTACACCCAGCGGTACTCAGGGCTTACTCCTGGCTCTATATTCAGGGACTACTCCTGGTGGGGTTTACAGAACCTTATGTGGGTGCCAGGGATTGAATCTGGGACAACCACGTGCAAGGCAAGCTCCAGCCCCATACTGGTGATTTTTACTGAATAAATCTAGGCCTGTTGAAGTCAATATTCCTGTGCTTATATGCATATGGGGCTACTGAAACCCAGCCAGTGTTAACAAAAGAATCATGATACGATCACAAACAAGAAGGGAAGGCTACAAAGGAAATTTAAATGGCAGGATATTTATTTGTTTGAATAAATAATTCAGATATTTTTTTTTTCTTTTTGGGTCACACCCGGCGAAGCTCAGGGGTTACTCCCGGCTCATGCACTCAGGAATTACTCCTGGCGGTGCTCAGGAGACCATATGGGATGCTGGGAATCAAACCTGGGTCGGCCATGTTGGCTGCATGCAAGGCAAACGCCCTACCCGCTGTGCTATCGCTCCAGCCCCAATTCAGATAATTTTTATGCTCTGTTTCTGGCCTTTGATGTTGGAAGGTGGTTTCAAGCTGTTAAATACGTAAAAAGAAAAAAAGAAAAGAAAAAAAAAAGGGAAAAATTCACAAAGGAAAAAAAAACAAAACCAACCAGAAAAACAAGTATAAACTTTTTTAAAAAAGGATTACTTTTACAGCCTTTCTATAGAAAAATATTCCTGAGACATTGATTTTAATGATGGATTTAGGGAAGCTCTTAGCAACTAAAGACAATAAAATTTTCAATTAGTAAATATAATATAGACATTCATCTATGTCTATAATGTCATAATATAGACATTACCCTCTGAGGTAGGAACCATATCCTGTCAGACAGTAAGGCATTCAATAAATAGATCTTGGGCTAGGTTGGGACTTTAACATATCAAACAGTAAGAATTCAATAAATAGACCTTGGGCTGGGGAGACAGCTCAAAGGGAGTACTATTATGCCATAGACCAGTTCAAACCCCAGCAACCATAGTCCATACATCACTAGGAGTGACCCCAGAGCACTGAACTGGGAGTTGCTTTTGAGCATTGCTGTGTGTGGTTCCTTCCTAACCAAAATAGATGCTGAATAAATATGCAGGTGCTGATGGAAAATTACACAAAAGGAGGTAGGGGTGGAGAGAAAGATCAAAGGGCTGGAGCACATGCTTCAATCTTTGGCACCTCAAGGGCTTCAGAGGCCCTGCCGGGTGTGGGCCTGGGTGTTAGAGCCCAACATTGCTGGCTTCGACCACTAACCCACCATCAGGATTGCATAGCAATACTGCATAGTAATGGGAGTGGCTCCTAGGCCACTGTGACCACTGGGGAGGGCATTCCCCACCCAAAAAATTGATATACAGTCAAGAGGGAAAAATTTAGGCTCATGGAGGGGAGATTTCTGATTCCCTGCAAACACTAAACATAAACATTAAGAAAATAAACATTCCACAACATAGTCGTAAAAAATAGGAAGATGTTTTACAGAGTAGGATTATAAAATCTATGTAATTGTCAATGAGACCCATTGGATTTACTGGTTTTGGCATATCGAATATGCCACGGACAGCTTGCCAGGCTCTGCCGTGTGGGCGGGATATTCTCGGTAGCTTGCCAGGCTCTCTGAGAGGGATAGAGGCTTTTAGGGTGGCCTCTTATCGCCCATGCAGGTGTTCCCATGGTTCAAACCATATTTGAACCCTATCAAATATAGTGAGGTAATCTTGTATTAAGTGTCTTATGATGTGTCCTGGAGCGTGGCGGCGGCTGGGTAGTGGAGGTAGTGGAGGTCTGCCAATGAGGTATTTATCTGGTACCGGTAGGGTGGGTCTTCTGTGTGTAATCCCTGGGTCACTGGAGGTTGGTAGAAGCAGACAGGGCAAGGTAGGGTGGGGCTTCTGGTTTTAATCCAGAAGAGCAGAGGAGCAGACGTCATTGGGCTACAGTAGCACGTGACAGGGACAAATGGAGATGTTACTGGCATCCTCTCAAGCAAATCAATGAGTAACGGGATGTCAAGTGATCAAGTGATCAAATTGTCAAAATGAAGAGGAAAAAAAAATTGTGTGGCTTCAAAAACAATGTGCTAAAAGAGAAATTTTCTACTTCTTATACCTGTGCATATACGATATGCCAGACACAGTAACAACAAAGTCTCCAATGGAGACGTTACTGGGCCCGCTCGAGCAAATCGACGATCAACGGGAGGGCCTTTACTTTACTTTACTTATACCTGTGCACTGGTACCAGACTGTGGAGGAGGGCTGAAAGCCACTCTTCTAAAAGGTCTATATTGGGCTGGAGCGATAGCACAGCCAGTAGAGTGTTTTCCTTGCACACAGCCGACCCAGGTTCGATTCCCAGCATCCCATATGGTACCCTGAGCTCTGCCAGGAATAATTTCTGAGTGCAAAGCCAGGAGTAACCCCTGTGCATTGCCGGGTGTGAAAACACCCTCCTGACCAAGTAAATAAATAAATAAAAGGTCTATATTTTCTAAACCCTGAAATTTAATTTTTTCATAGAACCATGTAGAATCATTCTTCTTGAGTATGCAAAGGGCTGAGTGTATGCTTTGCCTGAGTTTTATTCCTGGTATCACGTGGTTCCCCCAAATCCCCGGTACTGTCAGGAGTGGTTGTTGAGCTAAAGCTAAAACATTTTATTTTATTTTTGCTTTTTGGGTCACACCTGGTGATGCACAGAGGATACTCCTGGCTCTGCACTCAAGAAATTACTCTTGGCAGTGCTTGGGGTACCATATGGGATGCTGGGGATTGAATGCGGGTCGGTCACATGCAAGGCTGTGCTATCGCTCCAGCCCAAGCTAAAACATTTGAAAAGGAAAGTTCGGCAAACATCTCTTATATAATGATAAATTTAGTAACAGAAGAAAGAAAAAGATCCTAGGTCTTCTTTCTTTCCATTTCTCCCAACCCCAGCACCGCCAAACTCTCTACTACCCTATATGGTAGGTGACAATTTGAGTTCATTGATAGCGAAAAATCATAGCTGTTCAATTAAAATCTCATGACTATTATAAAAATAATGATCACGGTGACATCATGTGCCATTACATTTCCTTTCTAATAAAACTTTTGTTTATTCCCAGAATTAGTAATGATCTCCCCGCCTCTTTATTTCCTTAGATATCTTACACTCTCCCTCTTCTCTGCACCTCCATTACACTTTTACCTGTGATGTTAGGATAGATGTGCTTGCACCCCAGATCTCCTCTGGATAACAGTGTATCCTCCAATTGGTAACAGCACATGACATTAAGGATCTATGGGATTAAGCTAAAAAATATATATTTTTTTCCCTTTTTGGGTCACACCCGGTGATACTCAGGGGTTTCTCCTGGCTTTCCACTCAGGAATTACTCCTGGCAATGCTCAGAGGACCATATAGGCTTCTGGGAATTGAACCCGGGTCAGCCACGTACATGGCAAACTTCCTACCCACTGCACTATCAAGCCACCCCCTATTAGACAGATATTCTTGTCTGTGTAACTTTCCTGGAGAGACTTCTGGCATCCTTTACCCATTACGGCTTGGCAGGCTGTATGAGATATGCTGTGTCATGCTCATTTTGGAGGATTTCTGTTACCTTCTTCCTGAGTTGAACAGTCTATTTCCTGGATCTCATGGGCTTCTTTTTTAAAATTGTGGATTGTTTTCTATTCTGGCAGAGAAAATATAGTCTGACAAAGTTATTCTGTGCCTCAATTATAGGAGGTAAATTTTGCTCTCTGAAAAAAATCTTCCAAGCTCACACATGATTGAGAGCCTCATTGTTATAGAAACTGAGGTGAAAAAAATCACTGTGGTATTAAGAATAACTAAATTACTTTTCTGTCTTTTAGTTTTCATTGTCACTATTTAGAAATTAAAATGTAACATCATTCTGATTCTCAGTCATTTGAATGTGATACTTTTTATCTGAAATCTTTAAGAATTCTTCTCTTCCTATCTCTGGTGTATTGGAATATTCCAATGACTTTGCTTAGAATCTGTCTTTTATTTGTTGTGCTGGGTACTTAGTGATCTCTTGAATTTATATCCTGCAGTTCTGGGAAATACTGTACTTCTTCCTCCATAATTGCACCTGTTCTCTCTTGCTTAAACAAAATTCCTAGTTGTTCAATTTTGGGTCTTCTGGATGATCTTTTTAAGTAGATATGGAAATCAGAAATGCATTTCATTAAAGGTAAGGTAAAGGTAAAGGCCCTCCCGTTGATCATCGATTTGCTCGAGCGGGCCCAGTAACGTCTCCATTGGAGACTTTGTTGTTACTGTGTTTGGCATATCGAATACGTCACGGGGAGCTTGCCAGGCTCTGCCGAGCGGGCGAGATACTCTCGGTAGCTTGCCGGGCTCTCTGAGAGGGGCAGAGGAATCGAACTGGAGTCGGCCATGTTGGCTGCGTGCAAGGCAAATGCCCTACCGCTGTGCTATCGCTCCAGCCATTTCATTAAGCAAGAAAAAAAAAGTAAATAAACCTCTGAAATGGAAAACAGTGCTTAAATAAGCCTTTTCTTTTTTCTTTGCTAGTTTAGTTTTTGGGGAGAAAGTGAAGGAGGGTGTGGAAGAGGTCGGTACCCGGGGGTGCTCAGGATTTCTCGGGGATCACTTCTGGCAGTGCTTTGAACCTATGCAATGCCGAGGATCAAATCAGGGTCAGTTGCATGCAAGGCATGTGCCTTCATCGCTGTATTATCTCTCTAGCCCCCTATACTGACACATACTAATGAAAGTATTTGGAAGTCAACAGTAGGCAAACTATACTGAAGTGTTAATAATTAAGTCATTAATATAGTTGTTTTACTTGTACAGGGCTACATAATTAATAAGTTTTTCCTTAATCTTCAATATTTCTAGTATCACTGTCACTGTCCTCCCGTTGTTCATCAATTTGCTCGAGCAGGCCCAGTAACATCTCCATTGTGAGACTTGTTGTTACTGTGTTTGGCATATCAAATACTCACAGGTAGCTTGCCAGGCTCTGCCATGAGGGCGAGACACTCTCAGTAGCTTGCCGGACTCTTTGAGAGGGGCGGAGGAATCGAACCTGGCTGGGATGGGTTGGCTGCGCGCAAGGCAAATGCCCCACTGCTGTGCTATTGCTTCAGCCCAATTTCTAGTATATTTCTAGCATATAATTTGAATTTTAAAATTTTTTCTTGATTATTTGATTGTGATACTTGAGCTAAAGATCATTCTGAAAAGTTGAACAGGCTCATTCTGAGAATTCCATTTGTCGTTCTATATCCCTTCACTATTCAGCAAACCCAACGTTTCCTTGAATAAAGATAGAGGGACACATGGTATTAATGTTTATTAGACTCCTACTTTTTCTGCAAATCACTGTGCTTTTATAAAGCCTCTCACAAATATGTATATTATGCCCACTTATACATGAAGCAAACAAGGAACACAAATTAAGTAAATTGTCACTAGTTATTTAGAAAGTCAGATAGCCCTTTCTTAATCTGAAGCTTCTTTTCTTTCAATATACTAATATTAAACTCACTTACACTACGGTATTTAAGATAATAAGATAAATCACAATAATTACTGCATGCAAAAAATCCAAAAACCATAATGCAAATGTTCACAGAGGCATTCATTTGATTAATTGGCTTGCAAAACATCACACATGATATTAGTAACAGGCTAAGTAAAGTCTCAAGTTTTAAGAACAGGAATTGTTGCATGCCTTATTTTGAATGATCAGTTACCTCAAATTGGTTGAAGTAGGGGTGTAGAGGTAAGCCAGAAATCCTACCAAGATATTCCCATCGAGAGAGAGAGAGAGAAAGGCAGACACAGAAAGAGAGAGGACACCAAGGAGAGAAATAAAGAATGGTCATCTTAATTGAATGTGACTTTATAACTATTTAAGATACAAAGTAGAGAAATTTAAATAAATATTATGTTTTCAGAGATATCTTATTAACTAGCTATCATTTTGTGGTCAAATGTACTAAGAAATTTTTTTTTTCCTTTTTGGGTCACACCTGGCGATGCACAGGAGTTACTCCTGGCTCTGTGCTCAGGAACTACCCCTGCTGGTGCTCAGGGGACCGCCCATATGGGATGTTGGGAATCGAACCCGGGTCAGCCACATGCAAGGCAAACGCCCTACCCGCTGTGCTATTGCTTCAGCCCCAAATGTACTAAGAAAAAAATTTTAAAAATTTTAAAGTGTCTGTAAAATGATCTTTTTTAGTATACAAAATCAAACAGAAAGTTACCAGAATTTTAAAATAATTTGAAATAAATTCCACCCCTTTATCCATTAACTTAATATATGAAATAAAAAATTACCTTCACTGCTGCGGTGACAGCGGCAGTAGCAGCCAAGTTTAAACCTTGCCGTCCAAAGTTTACCATGGTTTCATAGCCTCGTTCCTTGGCTTGTACAATATAATCATCAATCTCCTGGAAAATAATTTTTTTTTTAAATTTAAAAATAGTGACAAAAAGTCCCCAAGCTAGGACTTCCCCCTGTAAGTTTCACTAGTTTTACACATAAAGCATGCAATTATGTGCAGTTTAACAGATGATTTATAGAAATAATCTTATATATCTTACCCTTTCCTTTGAAGAAAGAAGAGGATGAAGGAATTTTCTATACATTAAACTTGCTCCTTTGGTGTAGGGAGAAAGCAGCCAAATGACAAAAGCAATTTTCAGTTCATAGTATAGGGGGAACCTACCAAGAAAAAAAAAAGAAAAGAAAGAAAACTGGTAAAAATCAACTGCAAACAATGAGGACATCACAAAACGAGTTAAAAAAAATGGGGGCCATTCCCGGTGAGACTCGGTTATTTTTGGCTCTGTACTTCAGAAATCACTCCTGGCAGTGCTCAGGGAACCACATGGGGTGAAGGACTTAAACTGGGATTGGCAAGGCAGCACTATCTCTCTGGTGGCAACAAAATAGCCTTTTTCCTATGTTGACCCACGTTTATTTTTTAAAAATTTATTATTGTTTAAAAAAATTTTTTTGTGTGTGTACAATAATGGTTTCTCATGAACACAGCTCCAATACCACACCCATCACCAGTGTACCCAGCACCCTCCCTCCAAGGCACCTAGCTGCCCTTCTTTCATCCTCACAGCTCAAGTCAGTTCCCCAGTTATGTTTGTTGCCTTTGGATCTTTGTTTCGATCTCATTGTGTAATTTTAAGTACAGCATATGAGAGAAACCATTCTGAACCCATCTGACTGACTTTACTCATCACAACAGCCTCTGCTTTCTCTCTTTCTTTCTCTCTTTCTTTCTCTCTTTCTTTCTCTCTTTCTTTCTTTCTTTCTTTCTTTCTTTCTTTCTTTCTTTCTTTCTTTCTTTCTTTCTTTCTCTCTCTCTCTCTCCCTCCCTCCCTCCCTCCCTCCCTCCCTCCCTTCCTTCTCTCTCTCTCTCTCTCTCTCTCTCTCTCATTGATTCACCATGGGGTATAGTTACAAAGCTTCATGTTTGAGTCTCGATCACAGTTATCCAACACCCCCATCCCTTTACCAGTGCACATTATCTACCACCAAAATCCCCAGTAACCTCCCTCCCCCCATTTCACACCTCCCCCTGCCTGTGTGGCAGACAACTTGCACAATACTCTCTTTCTCTACCTTAGTTACCTTCGATATTTCGAGACCAGACCCACCACCACTCATACCTGCTGAAAAGGCAATGCTAGACAATGTGTTTTGTATTGTTTGTTATAACAGCCTCTAGTTTCATCCATATTGTGGGAAACTTCACAATTCTGTTCCTTCTTAGAACTGCATATTCCAATGGAAATCACAAAATAATTTTTTTTCTTTTTGGGTCACACCCAGCATTGTACAGGTGTTACTCCTGGCTCTGCACCAGGAATTACCCCAGGGGGTGCTCAGGGGACCATATGGGATGCTGGGAAATGAACCAGAGTCAGCTGAATGCAAGGCAAATGCCCTACCCGCTGTGCTATTGCTCCAGTCCCACAAAATAATTTTTTAAAAAAGCTCTGTAATGGTGTTAAGTCTCCATATGTAAAACTGAATCATTAGGAGGGCTGGCACGAAAGCACAGCGTGTTTGCCTTGGGCCAACCCGGGTTTGATTCCCAGCATCCCATATGGTCCCCTGAGCACCGCCAGGAGTAATTCCTGAGTGCAGAGCCAGGAGGAACGCCTCTGTATCCCCGGGTGTGAACCCCCCAACCTCCAAAAACAAAACAAAACAAAACTGAATCATTAGGTAAACAATAAAAAAGATTTTTTTGAGAGGCCATAGCCAGCAGTGCTCTTTGGGGCCACTTCCCATGCTGATGAGCCCTGCAGTGCTGGGGACTGACTGCGCCTCTGACAGGTACTCAGCTACGTGAGCCATCTCCCTGATCCAGGAAAATCATGTCTGAAGCCACGAATTAGTGTCACTAACTATAATGAAAGAGTGACCTTATCATGGAAGAGATGCAAAACTTCTAGGACAAGACTCTTCCCTTGAAGCAAGCTAAAGCAAACTGCCAAACTGATTCTAGCAGTTCAGAAAACTCAAAAAATGCATTAGTGGCATTTCACTTTTAGAAAACAACTTGATATGTACTCCAAGTACATAATGCTATGCTATTCATAGACATCCTTATCTGTCTCAGAACTCCCAGAAAACTTCCCCTCTAATCTCATTTGGTCAGAATTATAGTAATTGGCAGGCCTAAATCGTTCACCTGCAAAGCGAATGGAATGCCTGTTGTGGTAGGCTAGAGATGTGCCTTCCCTGGAGGCTGAGTTCACTGTAGTTTATGCATGTGATCTGCTTAGCCAACAGAATCTGTAAGTGAATATTATGTCACAAGCAACCAGAAATGTTAAATGCCTCCTGATCCCCTCACCTAATGTCCCCAACTTTTTGTTTAAACTGCTTCTAATCATAGGAACAGTGGATTCTTCAGACTTGGATCCCAAATGAGAGGACAAGAATTTAAATGGAGCTAAATCCAGATGAACATGATAGCTGAGAGATAAAACAGGGGGTAGAGTGTTGGCCCTGCAAGGGGTCGACCTGGGTTCAATCCCCAGCGCCTCCAATGGTCCCTGAGTCTACCAGGAGTGATTCCTGAGTACTGAGCCACGAGTAAGCCCTGAGCACTGGATATGGCCCCCAAACAAAATAAAACAAAAGTTGCAATTGATCATTTGCCTTTACACAGTTTGAGCAAGAAGTTTTTCAGGACTAGAAAGATAGCAGAGCGGGTAGAGTGATTGCCTTGCATCCAGCTGGCCTGCGTTCAGTCCCTGGCAACCTCTAAAGTCCCTGAAGCTCTACAAGGAGTGATCTTAAGTGCAGAATCCGGAGTAAGCCCTGAGCATCAAAGGGTGTAGCCCAAAGCCAAATAAACAACAACAGCAAAAATGCTTTCCTAACCCATTGTACTTTTAAAAGGGTTATTGCCACAGCAAATATTAATGAGAATTAACTCACTGTGAGGGACAACCATGGTGTTCTAGTAAGTACTAAGCCGCCTAATAAGCGAACAAATGTGGGCTCATCTGATGAGGCAGAAAGGCAGGGGTCATTATCCAGTCCTCAAAGAGTTTCTGAACTTCCATTGTTCATGGTAAATTACTTCCATTTTTCACTCTTTAGTAATGTATATATGATACATTTACAATTAATTTTTTTTTCACTTTTTGTAAACCTGACAGTGCTCAGGGGTTACTCTTGGCTCTGCATTCAGGGCTGGCAGGCTGGGGGAGCCCTTACAGGATGGTGAAGACTGAACCCAGGTCCGCTGCAGAAAAGGCAAGTGCCCCATCTGCTATACATTCCGCTGGGCCCTAAAAATTTTTTTTAGGAGTCAAAATTCAGCAGTGCTGTGAGCCTTTCCTTGCTCTGGGCTGGAGGGTTGCTCCCAGAAGTGCTTAGAGGACCCTGAGGTGCTAGGGATTTAACCAAGTCAGCTCTATGCAAAAGGAACGCCTCTCTGAACTTTCCAGAGAAAAACTTTAAAAAGAACTTGAAACTTAAGAGACTACCAAGGCTGGAATCTAGTTCTACTGTTCAAAAACACAAACAAAATAAACAAATCTTTCCCTAAGCCCCCCACAAAAACATAACTAGTAATGAATAAGATTTGGGACAAAGAAAGGAAGAGAAATGGGGAATCAAACACAGAGAAGCTCATAAATAAGAAAAGATTTTTAGGAAGATATAACTGGAAAATGATAAACTTTGAGCTTAAAAACATTCTTTAAACTTGCTTCATGTATTTGGGGTAAAGCAGCTGAGAGGTGGCAACGAGTAGGAATATGCATATGGTTTTTGCCGTCTAAACGTTTACAGGGGAGAGTTTTAAGGAAGGGGATGGCATGTTAAAACTGTGGGCTTCAGAGGACAAGTCATTTAGGAAGCCATACACAAACGATCCAGGGGACCTTATGGGATGCTGGGAATCGAACCTGGTTTGTCCGTGTGCAAGGCAAATGCCCTATCTGCCTTGCTATCACTCCAACCCCAAGACACTTGGGGTTTCTTTATCCTAATAGGAGGTATTTGGGAGGCGGGCAGGGAGTGTCATATGGGGACCGGATGTGCTGTCTCTTTTGTTTGTTTGGGGTTTTGATTTTGGCCCACACTCAAATATGCTTAAGGCTGGCTTTGTGCTCAGTGATCATCCCTGGTGTAGCTACAGGACCATATAGGGATCAAACCTGGGTCGGATGTGTGGAAGCCCAGTGCTTTCCCCACTGCACAATCTCTCCAACCGAAGATGAACTGTCTTTATTGAAGGGAATTCTAAGGAAAGTAATGCTGTTCTGGGGAAACCAGTGGAAGAAAATGAGACACTGGCTCCTTAGGTTACTTGATCAAATTCACTCAGTTAATAGCCAAAACCGGGGAAGAGCTCTGGATATTTGATAATAAGTCTGACCCTTTCTTGACACTAGAACTTACCAAGCAACCGTTAGATCTGCTATTGTTTCAACCACAGTGTAGAGAGCAAAGACAATCCAGTACATCATCCATCGAACCTGAAAATAATGAGAATATGTATAAAATAATAGACTACCATTATTTTCAATATATTTCTACACACAAATAGCATGTTGTATCAAATGGAGAAGATGAAGGTTTCATTCTCAGAGGGGTTTATGCTTGAGTTTCTTATAATTACTGTCTCATATGTCTTAGAGAACAAGAATTGAAATATAACAACTCTCAAGGCCTGCCCAAAAATAACGTAGGAGTATGGATCGGGGAGACGGCTCAAAGGGCTGCAGTATGTGTCTTATAAGGGTCATCCTTGAGCACCTCTGCGTTTGACCCCACAAGGGGGTATGAATATATACATATGCAGACATATAGATATAATGTATATAGAACTGCATATATATGATATAGGAATACATATGTATATATGTAATGTAGGAATATATTTTAAAATAAGATGCATTTTTATTTTGTTATTTTCGGGATAGACTCCAGAGCTTCACAGGCAAGTACTTTACTGCTGAGTTCCATGGCTCATGGCTCTATTTCATTTAACTGCAGCAAAATTCATTAAAATGTATTATTCTTGGGCTTAGCAGTAGAGCACTTGTCTTCCATGTGCATGGCTCTGGTTATACTAAAAAAAAAAGAAAGAAAAAGCTAATATCTTTATCTACATGTTTCTTTCTGAATCACTGTCACTGTCACTGTCTTCCTGTTGTTCATCAGTTTGCTTGAGCGGGCCCAGTAATGTCTCCATCGTGAGACTTGTTGTTACTGTGTTTGGCATATCAAATATGTCACGGAGAGCTTGCCAGGCTTTGCCGTGCGGGCGAGAGACTCTCGGTAGCTTGCTGGGCTCTCTGAGAGGGGCACGGGAATTGAACCTGGCTCGGCCAGGCCGGTTGCGCGCAAGGCAAATGCACTACCGCTGTGCAATCGCTCCAGCCCTCTTTGTGAATATTATTGGTATTACAGAAATGATATAATTATATTTAATACTGGTTATATTTTTATATTTTAAGCCCCATATCTAAATCATAGACAAAATTAGAATATTTATTCAAGAATGATTCTGGGTTTTAACATCTCTAGTACTAGTCACTTGGTCTGAGAGTACCAGGCTGGAGAGACAGCTCAATAGGTTGTGCACATATGTTGTACGCACAAGGCCCTAGTTTGATCCTGAGCACTGCCAGGAGTGACCCCTAAGCAGCCCTAAACATTGCTGTATGTGGTCCCCAAACCAATCCGCAACTCCCAAAATACAACCAAAAGAAAAAGAAAGTGTGCTACTAATGTCATCTTCCTCTTTCCATATGCATAAAGCTATAGCTGCTTGCACATTCCTATTTCTTCTCCTCCAGCGGTGGTTGCATTAGACTGAAGGTTTTGTGTTTTCAAATTCAAGTGTTGAAATCCTAAGTCCAAATGAGTATGAGGAGGCAGGTCCTTCAGTAAGTGATCAAGTCAAGAGGGTAGAGCCCTCATGAATGGGATTAATGTCGTCCCCATTAGGACCTGTGAGAACTGTTTCCTCCTTCACTGTGGATCTATGCAACAGGGAGTAGACTTCACACCTTGATCTTGAATTTCCCAGCCTCCAGACATTTCTGTTGTCTACAAAATACCCAAATCTACAGTGTGTTTGTTATATTAGCTTGAAAGGACTAATCAGGACAGTTGAGCCTCTTGCCTGAAGTGGATCATCCTAAAAGGACCCTGAGACTTTGGTGTTTTATCTACAATCGGTTTCACTGAACGAAACAATTATCTTCGTTTAAAAAAATGGCTTATTTTTGGTTTTGGGGGCTGGAGAGCTCTGATACCACATGGTCCCCTGAGCACCACTAGGACTGACTCCTGAACACAGAACGGGAGTAGCCCCTTAGCACCGCCAGACCCAAACTGCCTGTGCTTTGAAAAAAAAAAGATGGAGGGTGGGAATTGTAAGATATATATACAATATACACACAGTGAAATACAGTGCAGCTATAAGAAATGAAGACGCTTCCAGTTCACCGCATCTTGGATGGAAAAGAAGAATGTATCATATTAAGCAAAAAACTAAGATGGAGAAGGATAAATATTGAATGACCTTGCTTATTTGTGGTTTGCAGACTAATAAAACATGGGCAAGGACAGTAACAAAAGAGGATAAGACTTGGCCTTGGATTACAAAACTGAGATTACTGAACTGGGGGAAGGGATTGTGAGGGGAAGATGGGGTGGACTAGAAATGGTATCAGATCATTGGTGGAAGGTCTTAGGCACTTCGGTAGTGATGAGGTCTGGTAACTTGTGTATGTATCTATCAAGATCCTAAATGTTCATACTACTGTTACAAGTTACCTAAACGATCATAATAAAATAATTTAAAAGTATCAAATTAAACCACACACAAAATGATCTATCATGCTAAAACCACAGTGTTTGCTCTTCTGTTCAAAATTGTAGCTAATGTACAAAATTGTACTGGGTAGGAGCTGAACTAAGTGTATCCTATATATTAATTCACTTATTACTCACAACATTACATGGTAGGAAGCACAACTATTCCCATTATAAAGAAATGAGGGCAGAGAAATGAAATGCCTTGCTCATTTAGCCAGCATATGAATTCAAGCTGGCGAACTCTGGAATTATTAACCAGTTACACCACGAAAGTAAAAAACTGCAAGGAACTGCTGTTAGGTCCAAGAATGACCACTCCCTCCTTATTCTTATCCTAATGACAAATATATATACATATATATGTATCTATACATACGCACACACTGAATCTCATAGCTCTATCTTGAGTTATTTGCGTGCCTTCCACTACCATATTTTCCTATTCACCAACTCTATTAAGCCGTTTCTTTCATTTTTTTCATTTTTGGAATTGAACCAGGGACTCACAGGGCTCTGCAGGTGTACTAATCTGGTCTCTCACCTGACAGTTTCTTCTGGGTTTCTCTTAAGACCCTCTGCTGTAGTCTTAAGCTCACCTTTGTTTTTTAACATCCAGTATTTGTTTGAAGGGTTTTCCTCTGGCCTTATTATAAAATTTTATAGTGTCTGTCCATTACTTTTCCGATTTCATTTAACACTGTTTATGTTAACAAAGAGCACAACAGCTGCCGCAAACTCTTTCAGGCA